TTATTTTGGCACTAAAATCGGCGACGAAGTCGGCGAGTACCTACGATTTTATCATTTTTCGCGGCTGATATGTTATATCATGCTCGCTCAATTCTATGGCCCACTTGGCCAATCTCCCCGACAGTTCGGGTTTATATAGGATGCTCGGTAGGGGAAAGGTCGTCACCACTGATATGGGGTGGCATTGAAAATAGGGTCTAAGCTTTCATGAAGCTATAACCAATGCCAAGACCAATTTTTAGAGGTGGGGGTACCTCGTTTCGGCGTCGACCAGAGTTTTGCTAATGTAATAGATTGGACATGGCGCACCTTTGTTTTCACGGACCAATACTATGTATACTGCAACCTCTGATGCAGCCAAGTATACCAGGAGGCGTTTGCCGGGTTCTGCTTTGGCGAGTAGCGGGGGCGAGGACAAGTATTCTTTTAGTTCTCTTAAGGCCTCGATGCATTGTGAATTCCACTGGAGCCCGTTGTCCTTTTTGAGCACGTTGAAGAATTTGTGGCATCTGTTGGAGGATCGTGAGATGAACCTCAACAAGGCAGCTATACGGCTTGTCAGTTTTTGTACCTGTTTCTTACTGGTCAATACTTCATGTATTCCCTAGATGGCTTTGATTTGGTCGGGGTTGACTTCGATGCCTCTTTGTGAAATCAGAGAATCGAGGAACTTGCCCAAAGTTACGTTGAAGGCACACTTCTCGGGGTTTAGCTTCATATCGTATTGCCTTAGTATACCGAAGGCTTCCTTCAGGTGGTCGATGTGGTCTTCCTTTCTTTTTGATTTGACCATCATGTCATCTATGTACACTTCCATTATTTTGCCGAGTTGGTCCTTGAACATCTTGCTGACCAGCCTTTGATAAGTTGCCCTTGAGTTCTTCAACCCGAATGGCATAACTCTTTAACAGTACGTTCCCTGATGGGTGATGAAAGAAGTCTTTTCCTGGTCTTCCTCCTCCATGAGGATTTGGTTTTAACCTGAGTAGGCATCCAAAAAGCTCAACAACTCGTGCCCTGCCGTTGCGTCGATGAGTTGATCGATGTGAGGCAACGGAAAGGAGTCTTTCGGGCAGGCTTTGTTTAGGTATGTGAAATCTACGCACATCCCCACATCCCGTTTTTTTTTCACCATGACTACGTTGGCGACCCATTGGGGGTATTACGATTCTCGGATGGATCCGTTAGCAAGCAGTTTATCCACCTCGTCGCTCACAGCTTCGTTGATGCATTAAATTTTTTTCTTACTTGTCGTACTGGAGGGTAGAGGAGATCGACGTTCAACTTGTGTGTGGCAACGTCTTTCGGGATACTTGGCATATCTGCGTGGGAAAAAGCAAATAAATCGGCTTTGTTAATTAAAAACTTATGAAATTTACATGGCTCGGAGAGTTTATGGCCTATGTAAGCCCTTTTGCTGTTGTCACCACTGTCTAGTTGGACGGGGTCGAGGTCTTCTACCATTGACCCTGCGGCTTCAACGATGTTGGGGTCCTTGATAATGTCTCTTTGTTCATTGAGTTCGGACCCCGACTGTGGTAATTGCTATGCTTCTGAGTCCGTTCCCTTTAGCTATTGAGTGTATGTACAATCTTGGGTGATACGATAGCATTCTTGGGTTGTACGTTGTTCGCCTCGCATGCTGAATATCCCCCCACGGAGTAGGGAACTTGATTACTTGAACATGATGGCTCTCATGGCGTGTATGCATGGTCGTCCTATGATGGCGTTGTAAGTTATGTCCTGGTTCATGACATGGAACGTTGTTTCTAGGGTGACGCCCCCAGCCAGGACAGGCAGTGTTATTTCTCCTGAGGTTCGCTCGACTGCATTGTTAAAACCTGTTAGTGTTATGCAGTGTGGTACTATCTTGTCCCCGAGTCGCATTTATGCGAGAACTCGAGGGTGAATAATACACACGCCGCTTCTGTCGTCTACCATTATTCCTTTTACAACAGTATCTGAAATACGTAAAGTAATGACAAGAGCATCGAAGTGAGGAAAAGTCAAACCGTTGGTATCTGACTTATCGAAGATGATACTTTCTCCGAGGTCATCATACAGTTCGTGGGTGATTGATCGCTTCAGTTTATGTGTGGTGGTAAACTTTATGTGGTTGATGGCTGCTTCGTCGCCTCCATCGATGATCATTTGAATGGTGCGGGCGAGGGAGGTTGGTTTTTTAGGGCGTTGGTATTGTTCTCGTCCGCAACCGAAATTGACTCTTCCTCGGTCTCTCATCAGCTACCTTAGGTGCCCTTGGTGGAGCATGTCCACTACTTCTTGCCGTAGGGCTATGCTGTCCTCGGTTTTGTGACCCCGCTCTTGATGAAATTCATAGAGGGCGTTCGACTTTCAGGTACTTGGGTCGGACTTCATCTTTTGTGGCCACTTCACCTTCGGACCGAGCTTCTCTAGTGAATACACTATTTCTGAAGGGGAAACACAAAAATTGTGAGCAGATAAGAGTGGAGGCATACCTCTTTCATTTCGTTGAGTCCCTGTATGCGGCCTGGACGGTCCTTCCGCATGGCGAGGAGATGGTGGGATGGCTGTTCTGACATAGGGTTGATGCATGTCTCGGTTGAGGCATGGAGCTGAGTGGTCTCTTCGACCGTCATTACGATGGTCTTTCCTCGGCTCTGTTTGGACCGACGTTTACCGTTGGATTGGACCGTTAAGGTCATCCTCGTCTGCTCTCACCTCGGCGCAGTAGGCGTTGTGAATTTCTTCCCAAGTGGTGGGAGGGTATTTTATGAGCCTGCTTAATAATTTTCTTGTCGCTCTCGACCCATTCCTGTTCAACCCATTTTGGAAAGCTGCCACTGCCATCCCTTCTGATGCATTCGGTAAGCCCATTCTTACTCTGTTAAACCGAGCGAGCAAGTCCCTGAGTCCCTCGCCAGGCGATTGCCAACGGCGAATATATCATTCACCCTGGCCTCCGCTTTCTTAGCCCCGGCGTGGGCAGTGATGAACTTGTCGGCCATTTCTTCGAACGTTGTTATTGATCGTGCCGGTAATTGTAAGTACCATGTTAAGGATTCCCCTGTTAGGGTTTCACCGAACTTCTGCAGTAATACTGATGGTACCTACTCTTTTTGAGAGGTCGTTGCCTTTTACTGCTGTGACGTAATTAATGATGTGATCTTCGGGATCTGTTGTGTCGTCGTATATCTTCATATATGGTGGAATCTTGAAGGTTTTAGGTATGGTATGTGAGGCTTCCTCCTCGCTATATGGTTATTCGACGAATCGGCCAACGTCCCGTTTTGGTAGCAATTTTGGGGCACCCGGTATCTTATCAACCCTTTCTTGATGCTCCCTCATCTGGTTGCGGAGCGCTTTATTCTCGTTCTCCAGTTCTTCAATTTCCTTTAGGATGGCGGCAAGCGCGTCGTTACCTCCATCAATAGCGGTGTGAGTGTTACCTGTTGGGAGAGCGGGTTGCTCGTTGACCGTTGCTGTGGTATCCGCTTGTATGACGTTTCTATTCGCCCATTGAACGGGTTTGTCGAGTATGTCGCTTAGAGTGCTTGTCATCCACGTCTCCAGTAGTTTTTTTATTGCTGGCGGCGCTTCCTCAGTTGTGGATGTCGAGGCTCCTCTTTCACGTGAAGCGGTTACACTTCCATGAGGGGGAGGTGAGTCGCTCCGCTTGGGTGTAGCAATCGGCGTCGCGTTCTCCTCGCCTTCTTCGTCAACCTCGTTGATGGTGTTCAGGAGGTTGGCAGTGACGTCTACTACTGCTTTCAGTCTTTCATCTCCTTTTCCTGCCATTGTTAGTTCGTGCAGACGAGAAAAAGATGGACGATGTTATTGTTTTTTTAATCTAAAAAGAACTAAAATTTTAACTAGAACCTCCCCACAAACAGCGCCGAATTGTTTGATCAAAAATTGTTAAGCTTTTTATTAAACTAATTAATGAGGAAATAGAGGGGGAATCCTAGTTAGATATAATAAATTCTACATAAAAAACTTAGACATATCCGTGGGATGAGATCGTGTTTAAGAGTAATAAAGATCATATACCTATTCAATGATTGTCAATGAATGTTATAATAAGAACATGCAATAAATGTAGATAATGACAATAAATGTAATAAAGAGGAATTTATCACCCGAATATTAGATGGTTTGGGTGATTCTTCTTCCTGACAGCAACGTGGGATAATGATAAATGAATATGAATAAGGAATCTTTGGATCTTGTAAACAAAGAGTGAACGACGTGTGTTGAGAAACAGAATCAGTGAACAAGACAAGTCTTTTTGTATATTCTTTGTTGTCAACCCTTTACAAGTGCTCTTATCAAAAAGTGAAGATCCCCTTTTGTTCTTTATCTCTTCCTATTTATAAGGGTTATCCCCAAGAAACCCTAAAAAGTACAACCTAGGGAATATCCAATGGAATATTCCTTATATCTATTACTAAACTATCCTACCGTTGCTTCTTTCCCCCCTTTTCTTGACCTCGGCAACAATCCTTCTAAGACGACTCCTCGCCATTGTGCCGTGGTCGGCTCTATCCTTGACCATGTTTTATTTGCAGTTATCAAGCCGCCCAAATTTAGACCAATACAAAGCCGCCCAAATTTAGACCAACACAAGTACATTATTAAGAAAACATGGTAGAATGGTAGTAAGGAGTCGAACGTCTTTCCTTTCATCCCAGTAGTAGTATTGCTATTCTCGTATGTCTATATAGTTAGATTTATATTACTATCTAACTACGTTGTGTTTCGATTTTACTTTATCTTGATGTTGTTACTCCTATTTTGACTCTTCCACTACAATATATCATTTCTCTATAATGTTGTGATTATGCATGTTTGCTTTGAGCCGAGGGTCTACTGGAAATAACCTACTACCCTTTCCAAGCCCCATTTGTAGGATTACACTGAATATGTTATTATTGTTATTGTACATTATTAAGAAAACAACAATATACTAGAAAACAAAGTCCCTATGTGCTGATGCCAACTTCACATATATTTTGCAGAAGTTACTACAAATGTGCACATAGGTACAAGCAAAACTGTCAAGCAGCAAAACATATACAAAGGTCAGATGATGATCCTTATGTATTTAAGATCACATGCAAAGGCTACCATACTTGTCAACAAGCTACTACTTCTATACTACAACCAACATTCTCTTTAACAGACAGAAATCAACATTTCCAGATTTCCCATTCTGATAATGACAAACTAATAGGTGACTCTTTTGTCTCTCCTACAACCCCTGAATCAAACTACTTCTCGGTCTCAAGCAACAGCCAAATGAATGGTTTTGGAATAGTTCACAACTTGCAACATTCAGAATCATACCTTAGTGATACTGGAATATTTCTCAACTTGCACCATTCAGACTCAGACCGCACTGACATATTCTCCGTCAATACTTCCACAACAAGTTCTTCAATTGGGGATGAGTTTGATTTTTCCATTTGGACCAAAACGACTAACACTCTCCAAAAGGACGAATAGTTTGGATGTTATCACCAAGTTACTCTATTGAGGTTGATGATCCCTCCTTTAGGTATTAGTATAAACATGATTTAGCAATAGAACTAGCTACGGTTAGCCTATTATAGTATTGTTGTTACTGCTTGCTGCTGCTATTGCTTCTTTTTCATCTTTGTTTGAGCTGAAGGTTTATCGGAAACAGTCTCTCAACCCTTATATGGCAGGGGTAAGATCTGCTTGCCTAATTTTGTTGTTGTTGTCGTAAAACTTGTTATGACCGCAAAAAATCAGGTGTCATACGGAAACTAGTAAAGCAACACTTGAACAACGATAAATCATACAACAAAAGAGAAATATACCAAAAGAGACACAAACATATAACGTGGTTCGATCAATTGACCTACGTCCACAGGCAGAGATGAGCAATCCACTATAATAAAAGAAAGTACAAAATATTGAGAGAACAACCTCACGAAGAGGCAAACACAAGTGTCACACTAACACTTTTCCAGTAAAGTTCTCCCCCTAAACACGACTCTCAAGCCCCATATGGCTACATGTGGATGCTACTGAATGAGAAGGACAGATCTTCAATTTATAAAAATGCAAACATTTTCCTACAAGAAAAGGGACTAGCTAAATATTGAAGAATCAGATTTTCCTTTTCATAAAAGGAAAAAAATTATGGTAAATATGTTGCACTTCCTTCAACAGATAAGAAAACTAAATATGGTAAGAAAATCAGGACAAAGACCTAACAATTCTCCCTCTTGGCCTGAATTTTCAGGCAAAATAAACTTGATCCACCTTCTTCACATAGACTTCAACAGGTCGCATCTCCAAATCTCCAGCGCAAAGTTTGTCTCAACGTGCGTAGCACTCCGGTCAAATTTCTCAGACAAAATTTACGATTACCATCAAATGGGTTGCGACTAGAACTGAACCCGCCAAGATGAACCTGTCTTGAACCTCGCTCTGATACCACTTGTTAGGACCGCAAAAAATCAGGTGTCATGCGGAAGCTAGTAAAGCAACACTTGAACAATGATAAATCATACAACAAAAGAGAATTATACCAAAGAGACACAAACATATAACGTGGTTCGGTCAATTGACCTACGTCCACAGGCGGAGATGAGCAATCCACTATAATAAAAGAGAGTACAAAATATTGAGAGAACAATCTCACGAAGAGGCAAACACAAGTGACACACTAACACTTGTCTACTAAAGTTCTACCCCTAAACACGACTGTCAAACTCCATATGGCTACATTGTGGATGCTACTGAATGAGAAGGACGGATCTTCAATTTATAAAACTTCATATCTTTTCCTACAAGAAAAGGGACTAGCCAAATATGGAAGAATCATATTTTCCTTTTGATAAAAGGAAAAATAATTATGGTAAATATGTTGCACTTCTTTCTAATAGATAGGAAAACCAAATATGCTAAGAAATCAGGACAAAAACCTAACAGAACTAGCTATCCACGGATTAGGAACTAGCTATGATATTTGTAACAATGGTCTACTGAGTTTCAAGGGCTGAACTTCCAGTCATTGGACATCAACCTGATGAGTGAATTCAAGTATATTCTTGCAAAAGGTACGTAATTGAATATTCATGAATTTTATCAAATTACAGACAGCTTGGCTGGGCTTGTGTAATTGTGTTTGCTTACTATCAAAACGAGACGAATAGAGGTAGGTGAGACTACGAATATAGATTAGCATCTGAGGTTAAATAGATGTAAGAACCGACCTCAAGCTGGATGTGAAGTCAAATAAGGACGGAAAAATGACACTGTAAATGTATAAAATATATATATATATATATATATATATATATATATATATATATATATATATATATTCACCTACCAAATATAAATAGTTTCTGATGCCGGCAAAAAGTGATAATACCCAATAAGGACTAGTGACTGGGCCTTGAATTTGTGGTTAATCCAAGAACAATTGAATAAATTGAAGAGAGATTTTCACAAACCACTATTGTTTAGTGCTTATTAGCTAGTTATAGCTACCATTTACTAAATTACTTTATATAGATATGTTTTCAGTTGATATGGAGTGCATTCGATGTATTTAAGCTACTGTATTCATGAGTACAGTAGCAAAACTCGGCGTGAAACAGGAGAGTCCAGCTAATCAACAGTTGTATTCGATTGTATTCAACTGTATTCGCGAGCTGTATTTATGAGTACAATAACGTAAACTGCATAAAAAATGGTCTTTTCGGCTGTTTAAAACGGTAAGTGAATCAATTAACACGATAGACTCCTAATATAACTCAACTAACTCAATTATAACACGCACAATCTGTATTTCACGTTAAAGAAAAGATTTCCCAGCAAAAAAAGACCACAAAACAAAACAGTCTCTAGATTTTCAATCCCTCCTTTTTCTGTTGCTATCATTCTGTAGATTTTCAAAACATGTACTCATTTTAGATGAATACATGTATTTGGAATACATAACATATTCATAAGTACAACAGTGGAAGTCTTGTAAATACATCTAAATACATCTAAAAACAAACAGTGAAAGTCACTGTAATAACTATTTATCAGTAAAATACAGATGTGTTTTTGAAATACATAACACATTCATAAGTACAACAGTGAAAGTCATCTAAATACATCCAAATATATCTAAATACATGTAAATACATCTAAAAAATAGTGAAAGTGTTGATTCTTTCGGAAATTTCTCAAATTGGGCTTGTTTCGATATGTCATTCCGCAATTGTATTTGTTGCTGAACCTACAAATACATGTTTCGCTTGAGCGTTTGTTGCAACTTGCCGTAGCCATGTAGGCGTGTTGATTGTTGTAGTTTATTGTGTCCCTTCTGTATTCTCCTAGTAAATTATGCAAAAGTTGATGATGGGATTAAATGACGATGCGCGCGTGTTGCTCCCAAACGCACACGAAAGTATACGTGGTCGACAAGTAATATAGGATTTTAAGTCCAGATATCGTACCCACAGGGACTTGTGATTAACTATCAACTAAATTAAACTAAACAATTAATTTATTCAAGCGAATCCTAAAGTATTAATATAACTGAAATTTAATCTAGAGTAACAAATTAAGAGATTAAAGAAAACAAGTTGGCGAATTATAGAGACGAATTCAATGTGAGTGAATATTCTAGAGTTATGGGTTAGCTAACAATCCCGTTGATTTTTTCACTTAAATTGTCTAATTAATTTATCTAGTTTATTGATTGACGGGGTTAATATTGCTCGTAGCCTTCTCCCGAAGTACAACTCGCCTATTCAAGCTAACCTAACGCCTATATTCCTATGGAATTAGGATTAATAAGAACGCATTTATAGTTCCCGTATAATAACCAAGCAAGGCGATTAGGTATATTCCTATCCTAACCGCAAATTCGCTCCCCTTAAGAGTTAAGATCTTGCTCTACCCAATCTTATATGCAATCTAGCATTCACTCTCCCGAGTTCTATCCTAGATTCGTAGATAGTATTCAATTGGTGATCAAGCAATCAAATAATTAAGCGCAAGATTGAATAAATAAATCAATATGATAAAATAAAAGAACAATTTAAGCTTCAAACTACAACGTTCATGTAGCACCCAAAACTCTAGAACTAATAAACTATGAAATTAAAGGAAGAGAATAGAAGAAAAACTAGTTAGAAGCCTCCTCCAAGCGCTATGTTAGATACCACCAAAGTGGCGTCCTCTCCAAATTAGGTTTAGGACCCCTTTTATACGAGTTAGGATCGTGTAGGGCCGAAATAACACTGTCCTGGACGAAATAGGAAAACTCCCGCACGCAGCGTCCAGGCCAGCGCCTAGCGCTGGACCTGGCACTGAAAACAGTAGCATTTTACGTCTCCAATTCTTCAATCTTTCTTTTGAATTCTAATTTTCTCTTTTGTTATCTCCACTTGGGGGGACAAAGACCATAGGGTGTCCCCCCTTATTTTATTTATTTAATTTCCTTTCTTTTTCTTCCGCGTTTAATTCAATTTTGCTCCAAATCTTTTCATCTTCACACCACTTTATTCCTCCACAGTTAAAATATAATATTAAGCACAAAACAATATAACTAATACTCAAAAGACGATTAAAAGTACTAGAATATGAGATAACAATGGGTAAATATATGCATTTTTAGCCGAACATCAACACCCCACACTTTGACTCTTGCTCGTCCTCGAGTAAGCATTAAAATCACTCTCAATAAGTCAAGCCTAGAAACACCACCACTTTGGTAGATACTAACAATTAGGCCCTATAGCAACTCAAACAATTATATACGCACTTCCTCATCATTGTGCAAGATATATAAGTCACAAACAAACAACAAAATTCTAACCTCCTAACCTCAGAGACGGACTCTTACTTACCAAATTTAAGCTCGCTCACCTACTCTGTCAAAGAAGCTAATAACATCACCTATCTATCATGAAACAAGTGCCCTCACAAGAATAAATAGTCCATACACTCAAATCAAAGAATGAATACAATTTAAGGACTTTGCATCAAAGAACAACTCTCGCGCTCACAACGAAATTCACATGTATGCACAAAGAACCATAGGCTTGCCCATTATGTACATCTCTACTAATTAATTATGCTCGAATAGAATCAAATAGGACTTTAACGGGTTATAATGCTGGCTAAGGGATGGGTAGGAGAATTGTATAATAGGTACTTACACTTCCCTAAGCACTCTGCATTTTTAGATTTCATCACCCATTATTTTCTACACTTCACTTTATTTTTGAGCCCTCTATTCATCTATTGTTTCACAAGTATTTTCTCATATTAAGAACGCTTTTTTTTCAAAGCAATTTTTTTGTATTCTCTTTTTTTTTCTTTCTTTTTCATGTCACATTCTTTTCAAGAAGGCCTTTCCATCGCCTATCAGCCATCATTGGTCACCAATTTTCACTTAACCATCCCATTCTTCAAATTTATCAATTAGTATCACAGTCTAAGCAACAGTGCTCAAGGAAGCAGGGTGCAAAAATTAGGGATTCAAACAAAAGGATCAAGGCAAAAATACGGCTTCCAAACAAAAGGCTACAGGCTCAAAGAGCTAACTAGTGGTACAATATCTGAAAAGGCTAAAATTCACAAGACATATCAAAGAAAGCCTATTATCATCTTCTAACCAGAGCAACACTTGTATTTCGCTTCAAT